AAACAAAAACCACCTACTCCCAAAATGATAATGTTCATCACAACCTCATCAGTAAACATCCTCCAGAAATAACAGTCACAATTGTTATCCAGTAAACTCTGTATGTTTTTTATGAACAGCTTTAATATGAACAATGTCCCAAAAGAAGTTCACAAAGTGCAGTTCCTTGAGGTGTTCCAACAGAGAAGACATCTTGTGCTGCTCAAGCTGCATGAAGATTTTTTGGAACACTTCAAAAGTAAAACGCAGAGCCTTTGGATAAGCCAGGATAAGGGAATATATCAAACCCAGAAGCAGGGCACATGCTGAGGCAACTGTAGTCAGGTCATGCAACACCTCCACTCCCTCAATGACGATGCCGATGTCTTCTGGGGGTTCTTTCAATCCCTCTTCCTCCTTCCGAATCACAAACACTGCCATGGTGAGTTGTTTGAGTTCCATCTGGGCATCACCTCCGCTGCTGCCCTGTAGTGAGTTAAACAATATGTTAAAACTTGAACTTACAAATNTGCAGTAGCCTACTACTTTCCTACTTTAATTTTTCCCCCTTAACTTGTATATTTTTCACACACAAAACCAAAGAGATGAACCATGTAACTTTATGAAATGTCAAAAACAAAAAAGACCTACTCCCAAAATGATAATGTTCATCACAACCTCATCAGTAAACATCCTCCAGAAATACCAGTCACAATTGTTATCCAGTAAACCCTGTATTACCTGTGGCTTTAATATGAACAATGTCCCAAAAGAAGTTCACAAAGTGCAGTTTTTTGAGGTGTTAAGCTTCCAAAACATGGCGCTCTTCTGTCCAAACAAAGAAGACTGAAGATCTTCTGTCCTGTTGCACAATATGCCAGTGTCTTTACTGTGAGGTCTGAAGTCTTCCAAACAAATTTTGAACTTTGGGAGACATCTTGTGCTGCTCAAGCTGCATGAAGATTTTTTGGAACACTTCAAATGTGAAGCGCAGAGCCTTTGGATAAGCCAGGTTAAGGGAATATATCAAACCCAGAAGCAGGGCACATGCTGAGGCAACTGAAGTCAGGTCCTGCAACACCTCCACTCCCTCAATGACGATGCCAATGTCTTCTGGGGGTTCTTTTAATCCCTCTTCCTCCTTCCGAATCACAAACACTGCCATGGTGAGTTGTTTGAGTTCCATCTGGGCATCATCTCCGCTGCTGCCCTGTAGTGAGTTAAACAATATGTTAAAACTTGAACATTGTAACTAATCTCTCACTACAGAATTTGGAAAATAAAAGTCTTGTAAATGCACGCACCAAGTATAAGATGTACAGCTTGTGAATTGAAGAGTGGTTTACGGCATTTGAAATATCCTTGATAAATTTTCCAAGTTCAAAGTTGCATTACAAATTGAATAACTCAAAGGGTGATTTTTAATTTTTTTTTAAAAGATAATGCATGTATATAGCTTTATATATGTTCCATCATATTACTGGCTTTAGCTTAAAAAAAAATTTCTTAGATTTTATATCAAAGCAGAATACTGGTCCAGCCAATGGTCATCTTAGGGTGGAACTCAATACAAAATGCATATTTGTGTTG